ACATTCTCTTTGTTCCCAGATAGAGTTAACCTATGCATATTTCAGTGGCTCCCAAGATGCAAATCTCCAGATTTGCTAATGTACAGCAATTGTGCCCAAACCAGGTGCTCATGCCAATTTGATCTATTTCATGTGTTTGTTGTAAGGGAGATTGACTACAATTAAATATTGATGCTCACCTGGTACCAACTGAGAATCCTGGCGCAAATGACACTCCTCCGCATACAGACCTATTTTTATCACTAAACATCATCTTTAGGATATTTTTTATTTTTAAAAAGAGGAACTCTACCAATGCACATAAGAAATAAATATTTCAAAAGCCCACTGGCAGATTCAGACCTCTGGCAAGAACAGTCTGTCCCTCCCTTGGCAACCCACTGGGGAAGGAGGAAGGGGAGAGAGGTGTAGGAAGGACACAAAGAGAGAGAGAAAGAGAGAGAGTTTCTTTAAGTCTTATGGTGACCAGTGCAATGTAGTAACACTAAAACAAGAGAAAGGGCTGCTGGCAGTCCATCAAAATAGTAATTGTCAGAAGCTGTGCTGAGGGAGGGGAGCAGAGAAGCCAATGAACTGGTAAAAGATCAAAGTCAAGGCCCAACCTTTCCAATTAAGCAGGATATAATTCAAACAAATACACAAATAAATATATTGTGGTGTGCTCATAGGAAGAAGCAGAACCAGTTCTACCGCCAGGCACCCCCAAATTAGCAGTTCTGAGCTTTCACAAACTGCAACAAATTGTTAGGTATTTGGTTAGCCTGCTTGATGTCGAAACAACAAGGCTTCTTGACCAGAGGTGGGGAGGGAGAGCTTTGCTGCTCTGCCTCAGAATGCACCTACACTGTAGAATTAATGCACTCTGGCACCATTTGGCTCCATGCCATGGAGTTGTGGAAGTTGTAGTTTTATAAAGTCCTTAACCAAACTACAAGCCACAGAATTCCATAGCACAGAGTAATGGCACCTAAAGTGGGGCCGCAATGGCGCAACAAGGTAAACTCTTGAGCTGCTGAGTTTGCTAACCTGAAGGTTTGCAGTTCAAATCCAACAGACTATGTGAGCTCCCATTGTCAGTCCCAGCTTCTGCCAACCTAGCAGTTCAAAAACATGCAAATGTGAGTAGATCAATAGGTACCACATCAGCAGGAAGGTAAAAGGGTGCTCCACAAAGTCATGCCGGCTACGTGACCAGGACAACGCTGGTTCCTCGGCTTGAAATGGAGTTGAGCATCTCCCCCAGAGCCAGAGACAAGCACCACCTCCAGAGCCGGAGATAAAAGGGGAAGCCTTTGCCTTTGCCTTTGCCTGTGTATTTGTGTTTAATTGTGTGTTTCAAAGACACTGAATGTTTGCCCGTGTCTGTATATCTGCTGGAATCCACTCTGAGTCCCCTAGGAGAGAACGGGCGGAATATAAATATATTATTATTATTATTATTATTATTATTATTGAGCCCCCGTGGCGCAGTGGGTTAAACCCCTGTGCCAGCAGGATTGAAGACCGACAGGTCGCAGGTTCGAATCCGAGGAGAGGCGGATGGGCTCCCTCTATCAACTCCAGCTCCTCATGCGGGGACATCCCATAAGGATGATAAAAACATCAAACCATCCGGGCGTCCCCTGGGCAACGTCCTTGCAGACGGCCAATTCTCTCACACCAGAAGTGACTTGCAATTTCTTAAGTCGCTCCTGACATGAAAAAAATTATTATTATTATTATTATTATTATTATTATTATTATTATTAAACTGGATTGAATCCATAACATAGAGCTAGCCTAAATTGGATTTATAATTTTGTGGGGCTCCAGCAGTCTCTGGCAGAGAAGGTGAAACAACATCTGCCATAATTCTATAGCACGGAGCTATAGCAGTTAAAATGGTGTCAAACTGCATTAATTCTATATGAACTCACAGTCAGCAAAAGACATTGGTTTGATACAGAATGGAGGCTGTTATTTTGCACAGAGGAATAACAGGACATAGTAAGGCAGGCTTAAATAAGGTAGAATCGAGCAAATGGGTGTGATCGTAAAGGTTGGAAATATTCAGAAGATGGAGACAGGCAGAGAAGAAAGGAAGTGTTTGGGTCTCTCTTGGCAAAGAAAAAGAAGGCGCCAGGCCCGCCTTCTCCACCTGCTGCCTCTCTTTCCCTCCGCTCCCTTCCTCCTTCTGGCTTGCCAGACTAGTAGGAGGCAAGTAAGTGGTGGGAGGAAAGGCGGGAGAAGAGCCGGGAAAAATTGTGCTTGCTGGTGCTAAGAGAATAATTCACCGTTATGTGCCGTAACTGACTGGGGGTGCTTTGCGGGTATGCAGGCCACGCCTTGCCATACTAGCAAAAGAAAAGCATGAAACTCTGGGTGTGCTTTTGAAAACAGGTGCCAGTTTCTTTCCAGTTTCCATAGAATCAGAGCACTGGAAGGGAGCACAAGGCTCATCCAGTTCAACTCCATTCTATCATGATGGCACACCCAATCAAAGCACTCCCAGCAGATGGTCATAAACCTCCAGAGAAGGAAACTCCACCACACTCTGAGGCAGAATATTCCACTGTCAAACAGCTCTTACCACCAGAAAGCCCTTCATAAGGTTCAGGTGGCAACTCTTTTCCTGTCACGTGAAGCCCCTTCCACACAGCTGAATAATGTCCCACATTTTCTGCTTTGAACTGGAATATGTGGCAGTGTAGACTCAGATAACCCAGTTAAAAGCAGATATCCTAATGTCATTTCCTAATTTGTGCTACCATAAAACATGGGGAAAGTTTGTTTTGCTTTTGCAGGGCATTCTAAAATGCACGTTGCTATCGTTTTTCAATTAATAGCTTGTGGAGTCTCAACTAATTCAACCTAGTTTGTGGCAGCCATAAAAACAAAGTTTCTGGAGTATAACAACGACTCTCAAAGTAAGTACCACACAATTAAACAGGAAATAATACTTTCAAACAGGAACTGAAACTTTTTCAAATGTTGTTACATAGTGTTATTTAAAAATATTCCTGGTGTGACAATAGTCTGGTGTTAAGCCAGTCCGTTCTAGTTAAAGGAAGAGATTTATCATCATACACACATATGTGCCAAGACAGTACTGCTCTTCAGCCTGTTGTTGTTATATGTGATCATGTTGTTTGAGGGTGTCAACAAAACCCTTGGCATCCATGAATCCTGAGCCTTTTTGCCTACTTTCGCCCTCCTTGAGAATCCAGAAAGTTCCAATTTCTTTTTAAAGAAAATGTGTGAAGGCTTCAGTGCTCACCAAGTCAACGCAAGCACTAGATACATCCTCCATCCTATTCAATAATTTACATTACCATAACACCATATACAGTATATATAGAAAGCAAATGTACACTATATGTGAAAAATTCATTCTCATATATGGCATTCACTATCATCGCATCATATGCAAGATGCTGGGTCCCTCCACACAGCCCTATATGCAGTGTGTTCCAGAACAGGAATCTCCTAGCATCATGTCCCAAATGCACTTTATTACAGATTTAGATTGTCTGCACACTGMACTTATCTCCAAAAACCTACCCATTTCACCTTTCAGGTCCAGCATTTTTTAAATTTTTATTCATTACATTTGGCCCGCCCTCAGTTTTAAATGCGTTGTGGTGTTATTGTCTAATGTTTATTGCGATTGTTTTTAATGTTTATTGTTTTGCTTTATGAGTTATTTATTGTTGTATTGCTATGCTGTTGTTTTATTGATGTGTTGGGCCTTGGCCTCTTGTAAGCTGCACCGAGTCCTTCGGGAGATGTTACCAGGGTATAAATAAAGGTTAATAATAATAATAATAATAATAATAATAATAATAATATCCCAGAATATCAAGGCAGAAAATCCTACGTTATCTGAGTGTGGATTCAGATAACACAGTTCAAAACAGATATTGTGGGATTTTCTGCCTTGATGTTCTGGGATATAGGGCTGCGTGGAAGGGCCCATATAGGACCCCTTTGTGACTTTTGGTATACCCAGTATATAGACTCATTACACACACATATTATATTTACTTAATTCTAAGACACCCTTTCACCCATAGAAATCTAAAAATGGGATGCATCTTAGGGCCCTTCCACAGAGTCATATAAATCAGAGTATCAAGGCAGATCATCCACAATATCTGCTTTGAATGTGTTATCTGAGTCCACATTGTCATATAATCCAGTTTAAAACAGATAATGTGGGACTATATACAGCTGTGTGGAAGGAGCCTTAGCTGCATCTTATGTATTTTTTGTGGGTAGTACTGAAATTAGTGTGTGTGTTACAATCAATAGTGTCTTAGAATCAAATAAACACACACACACATATATACATATTTATTTATTGTTTATTTATTTACTGCATTTCTATGCCCAAGGTGACTGAAAGTAGCTTACACTGGCACGATTCAATGCCACAATAAACATAAATAAAATTAAGACAATTAACACACATTATAAAAACCCTGTAAAAACATTAAAAGCATAAAACACCAGTAACTTCCTATTAGCTCATTTTCCAAAGACATTTTCCATTTTGTCTTTGCTAGCAGGTGGATTTAAAGGCATGGCATGACCCTTTCCTGAGTCCCTGCAAAGAGGAGGGGTTGGGTCATAGTGATAAAGGACTGGCATAGGCTTGAGTATGTGTCCTGAGGAACAAAACCGCTCCTTCTCCCCCAAGGCTGCTCTCCCCTCTTGCAAAATCCGTCCTTCCTCCCTCCTCCTTGCTCCCCGCCCGCCTCCCGCCTCCTTTTGGCGCGCCCAAGTGGAGGATGATGGATGCCTGGTGATGATGATGATGGCGAGCCCTTCTTCGGCTTGGTCCCTTTGTCTGGAGGATGCAGACAGGCTCGGGATGCTGAGAAAGGGGGGAGGGGGCGGGGCGATGACCTCATCCTATGCGCCCTCAGCCAATCGCCTTCCTCCTCCCGTCCAGAGCGGGGGGCGCTCCGGCCAATCCCAGCCCGCCTCGGCCCGTCCCCATGGTGACAGGGTGGTATATAAGGGGCCCGCGTTGGCCCCGGCGCGACAGGTTCTCTTACATCGACCTCCTAAGAGTCGCGCTGTAAGAAAGGCCCCTCTTCCTCCCTTCTTCCCCGGGTTCCGCGCCTCCACGCTCCGCAGCAGCAACAACAGCAACAGCAACCATGGTAAGACGCGCCCGCCGGGTGGGGGCTCCAAGGCCGCATCTACACAGCGCAAGGAACGCAGTTTGATACCACTTTCACCCTCAAGGCTGTACAATCATGGGGAGAGGGGAGGGGGGCTCCCTCTCCTCTCCTCCCCTTCCTTCCTCGATTCCTTTCCTTCCTTTCTTCTCCCAGGGTGCATCTCTCCTCCACTGTCGAATTCCTGCAGTCTGACCCCACTTTAGCTGCCTTGGCTCAATGCTATGCAATCCTTGGTCATTTCACCAAAGCACAACCCCCAGGATGGCATCGCATTGCGCCAGAGCGGCTAAACCGCATTAGTTCTCCAGTGTAGACCCGCCCCAAACCTCTGCTTGGGAGGGAGGGAGGTGGCTGGACCAGCCCGAGAGACTGAAGCGCATCGAAAAGTGCTTTATCATTCAATCCATTCCTTCAATCCATTGCCATTCAATCCATTCCTTCTCTAAACTCATGCCTTCCTGCCTTGGAAAGCGCCAAAGGGAAATCCGATTGGGGGGCGTCTGGTGGGCTTTCCGAATCAGCAGGACGGCCATTGGGTTGTTGGGAGCCCCTTTGGTAGGATACGCCCTCTGATAGGTGGGTGGGACGTTTCTTCTTCCCTAGAAATGCATCTGGAGGCATTAGGATACGCCCCTGGGTGGCTGGACCTTTTGGGGTGGGGTCTCTTTCTCCTTCCCAATAAAGGCATTGGTATCCAGCCCCATATCCAACAATATCAAGGCAGAAAATCCCACAATATCTGCTTTGAACTGGGTTATCTGAGTCCACACTATTGGGATTTTCTGCCTTGATATTCTGGAATTTAGGGCTGTGTGGAAGGGCCCCAGGGTGGAGGTCTCTGTGTTGGGATGACTGTGTCAGTGGGAAGACAGGGAGGGAGGGGCCAGCATGGAGGAGCTGCTGAGAAAAAGCCTGGGGTCTCATCCAAGGAGGAGTGCCTGGACTGCCCAACCTCTCTGCACGGTTCCATAGGGGTCAGTCCAGTGGGACCTGACCCTCCCTAGATAGGCACAGGGCTTGTCCTCTCATCTTTCAGGGCCCATCCACCCAGCCCTATATCCCAGAATATCAAGGCAGAAAATCCCACAGTATCTGCTTTGAACTGGATCTGAGTCCACACTATTGGGATTTTCTGCCTTGATATTCTGGGATATAGGGTTGTGTGAAAGGGCCTCTGAGGCGGGATTGCAGTGTCAGTGGGAAGACAGGGAGGGAGGGAGGAGGGAGGGGCCAGCATGGAGGAGCTGCTAAGAAAAAGTCTGGGGTCTCATCCAAGGAGGGGCGCCTGGACTACCCACCCCTCTTCACTGTTCCATAGGGATCAGTCCAACTGAATCAGGTGGGACCTGATCCTCCCTAGATAGGCAAAAAAGGGCTTGTCCTCTCATCTCTCAGGGCCCTTCCACACAGCCCTATAGCCCAGAAAATTAAGGCAGGAAATCCCACATTATCTGAGTGTGGACTCAGGGCCCTTCCATGCAGCCATGTAACCCAGAATATAAAGGGAGGAAATCCCACCATATCTGCTTTGAACTGGGTTCTCCACACTCACATAATGTGGGAGTTTTTTGCCTTGATATTCTGGGATATAGGGCTGTGTGGAAGGGCCCCTTGTGTGGACTCAGACAACCCAGTTCAAAGCAGATATTGTGGGATTTTCCTCCTAGATATTCTGGGGTATAGGGCTATGTGGAAGGGTCCCCAGTTGTAGTGAATGGAGGAGAGGCTGCCTCATTGGAGAAGATGGGAAAATGGGGGGGGGGGTCCTAAGCCATGCCCTGGCTTTGCAGCATGGCTCCCATAAGGATAAAGAGGGGCCTTGTGAAAGGAAGCCCTGCAAAGGGGGCCAGCTGGAGGGAGGGAGGGGAGGATCACAGGGACAGAGCTTCCCCACT